AATTTAATAATATTTTGATTCTGTGCATGATAACACTCTTAATCTGAGCAATTTCGCTTTGGAATTGGCATAATTTTCCGAATCTTGGTAATGTTGCTCGAACAGAATTGCCTCTGTGATTAGTTTGAGCCCACTTCTGACTTGTGGAAATTGATTGTTTTTTCTTCTCTACGAAATGTCGGTCTATCTGAATCTTGCTGTCGTTATGAAACTGCATTATGTTGACTCCTATGGCTGAATAAGTAATGGGGCAGAGAAATATAATGTCAGGAAAATCGTGCAACTTAGCATCGTATTACAAGATCCTCCTCATCTATGTTTTATCAATTAATGATGTCAAATGCCACCAGGTAACAAGTGGGAAATGGAGAAATCGTGTTCCTTGCTGGTACATTTTGACAAGGGGACACCGGCCCTTGCAAATGAGATCAAGGAAGCCCTTGAAGGGAATGATGTTGAAGCTAAGATTGATGCCATGAAAAATGCTATAATGCTTTTGCTAAATGGTGAAACCCTGCCTCAGCTCTTCATCACTATTGTGAGATATGTGTTGCCCTCTGAAGATCATACTGTTCAAAAGTTGTTGCTGCTCTATCTGGAGATCATTGATAAGACTGATGGTAAAGGACGTGTCTTACCCGAGATGATATTAATCTGCCAGAACCTGCGGAATAATCTTCAGCACCCTAATGAATATATCCGTGGTGTAACACTAAGGTTCCTCTGCCGGCTCAATGAGGTGGAGATCATTGAACCTTTGATCCCATCCATTATGTCAAACTTGGAGCATCGACACCCTTATGTTAGGAGAAATGCAATTCTTGCTGTTATGTCCATTTACAAGCTCCCACAAGGCGAACATCTCTTGGTTGATGCACCAGAGACGGTTGAGAAGTTTCTCTCGACAGAGCAGGACCCATCTGCTAAGAGAAATGCATTCCTGATGCTTTTTAATTGCGCCCAGGAGCGTGCTATTAGTTACCTCTTGACCAATGTTGACAGAGTATCGGACTGGGGTGAACTACTGCAGATGGTTGTCTTGGAGCTGATCCGAAAAGTTTGTCGGACAAACAAAGATGAAAAAGGGAAATATATAAAAATCATTATATCTCTGCTGAATGCCCCTTCAGCAGCTGTCGTATATGAATGTGCTGGAACTCTTGTTTCTTTGTCTTCTGCTCCAACAGCTATTAGAGCTGCAGCCAACACATATTGCCAGCTTCTTCTGTCCCAGAGTGACAATAATGTTAAGCTCATAGTGCTTGACCGCCTAAACGAGATTAAGTCCTCCCATAGGGATATTATGGTTGACATGATTATGGATGTCCTGAGGGTATTATCTAGCCCAAATCTTGACATTCGTAGGAAAACACTTGATATTGTTCTGGAACTGATTACTACCCGCAACGTTAATGAGGTGGTTCTTACATTGAAGAAGGAAGTCATGAAAACTCAAAGTGGGGAGCTTGAGAAGAATGGGGAGTATCGTCAAATGCTCATCCAAGCCATTCATTCTTGTGCTATTAAGTTCCCCGAAGTGGCAAGCACAGTGGTCCATTTGCTGATGGATTTCTTGGGTGATAACAATGTAGCATCTGCCCTGGACGTTATCGTTTTTGTTCGAGAGATTATCGAAACCAATCCCAAATTAAGGGTTTCTGTCATCACAAGACTTTTGGATACATTCTATCAGATTCGAGCGGCAAGAGTATGTTCTTGTGCTCTTTGGATCATTGGAGAGTATTCCTTGTCTCTTTCTGAAGTTGAGAGCGCCATTGCAACTATAAAGCAGTGCCTTGGGGAGTTACCATTTTTTTCAGTGTCTGAAGAAGAGGAGTCAGCGGATTCTTCAAAGAAATCTCAGCAGCCTACCTCGATTACTGTTTCATCTAGAAGACCCGCTATCCTTGCTGATGGGACTTATGCAACCCAAAGCGCCGCCTCTGAAACTTCTTTCACTGCCCCTGCTGTAGTTCAGGGATCTTTGGCTTCTGGGAACTTGAGATCTCTTCTTCTCACTGGTGATTTCTTCCTCGGGGCTGTTATTGCCTGCACCCTTGCAAAGCTCAATCTAAGACTGGAGGAGGTTCAATTATCAAAGATAGAAGTGAACAAAGCAACTAGCAATGCCTTGTTGATTATGGTCTCAATGTTACAGCTTGGACAATCTTCAGTTCTGCCACATCCAATTGATAATGATTCTTATGACAGAATTGTTCTTTGCATAAGATTGCTGTGTAACACCGGTGATGCTGTGAGGAAGATCTGGTTGAAGTCATGCCGTGAGAGTTTTGTTAAAATGCTTTCAGATAAACAGCTACGTGAAACTGAAGAGATTAAGGCCAAAGCTCAGATTTCTCATTCACAGCCTGATGATCTTATTGATTTCTACCATTTGAAGAGCAGAAAGGTGAGAAATGCATTCACAGATTGTTTTTCCTTAAACAAAAATAAAATAAATATTCTCGCTGGGAGGGGAGTATAAATTCCTAATAAATTGCAATCTACAGGGATCAAACCCTGTATCAACTACTATAAATTCCTAATAAATTCCTATTTGTATTCTGAAAGTCGAGCAGGGAAACGAGTTTGTTAGTTTCTAGGTACCATAATGATGGTAATTTCTTTTGTATGTAGTTGACATTTTATAATAATTGTATCAATATTGTCATCTCCACTCCAGGGAATGACCCAGCTGGAGCTGGAAGATGAAGTTCAAGATGATCTGAAACGTGCTACTGGGGAATTTGTCAAGGATGTGGATGATGCCAATAAGCTTAATCGCATCATTCAACTCACAGGATTTAGTGATCCAGTCTATGCTGAAGCTTATGTAACAGTTCATCACTATGATATTGTCCTGGATGTTACAATTATTAATCGAACGAAAGAGACCCTTCAAAACTTGTGTTTGGAGTTGGCGACGATGGGTGACCTTAAACTCGTTGAGCGTCCGCAGAACTATACTTTAGCACCAGAGTCGAGCAAACAAATAAAATCAAACATTAAGGTGTCTTCTACTGAGACTGGAGTCATATTTGGAAACATTGTTTATGAGACATCAAATGTGCTCGAGCGGACTGTTGTTGTTCTCAATGATATCCATATTGATATCATGGACTACATTTCTCCTGCTGTTTGTAGTGATACGGCATTTAGAACCATGTGGGCAGAATTTGAATGGGAAAACAAGGTATTTTTGTTCCTTAGTGCTTTCATATGCTCTCAAGTGTTATTGTAAACTATTATTATTTTTGTTAGATCCATTATTGTAAGCTTCATTATTGTTTGGGCTGCTGTTTACCTTTTTGCATTGGTATAGTAGTAGTTCCTTACCTCCTTGTTTTTTTGGGGATAAATTCTACTTGAAGTTTGTGTGTGTGTGTGTTTTAACCTATTATGGACGTCTAATGGAATATGAGCTAAATAATTCATGTGGTACTTCATAGCCTTTGTTTTCCTTTTTCTCTCTCTCTTTT